ACCCCCTGCTCAGGCAGGGAACCCTATACCTCTTCAGACAAAAGGTTGTCTAACATCTTCTTAAAAACTTCCAGTGTTGGAGTATTCACAATTTCTTGAGGCAAGTTGTTCCATTGATTAATCATTCTCACTATCAAGAAATCCCTCCTTAGCTCCAGGTTGCTTCTCTCCTTGATTAGTTTCCATCCGTTGCTCCTTGTCCCTGTCTCCAGGTACTTTGGAGAATATAGGTTGTGGCAGCCCCTTAGAAGTGGGATCAACCTATTCTCTTAAAAAGTTTTTTTTTTTTTTAAAGGAATTGCATCCATTTAAATCAAGGATGGGATGCTTGCCACACCTGATTTCTTTTGTGAACTAACAGTGAGATATCCGCGTTCTTCCTCTGGCTGTGTCTCTTCTTCTGTCCCCCAAGGCCTTTCCCGCACACCATTCCATCTAAGTCAAGTCTTGAATCTGTTTTGTCTTCTAGAGCAGGGGTGTCAAACTTGATTTCATTGAGGGCCACATCAGGATTCTGTTTCACCTCGGGTGGGGAAGGGGGCGTGGCTAGACTGGGCATGGCCAGCTCGATGTCACTCGTGCCCGGGGCGCCTGCGGAGGCCAGAGTACGCTGACAGCTTCCAAGCTCTGTTTTCGGCTGCGACGCTTCCTGCAACCCTCTGCCGGCGAAAACGGCTTGGGCCAGGCCACTGTTTTCAGGGCCAGATCTAAGCACCCCGTGATTTTGACACCCCTGTTCCAGAGCTTTACAGGATATGGATCTTTTCCTTTTTCCCTTCCAGGTCATCGCTGCGGAGGGTGAAATGAACGCATCCCGGGCACTTAAGGAAGCCGCGATCGTCATCTCGGAGTCTCCCGCTGCCCTCCAGCTCCGCTACCTGCAGACTTTGACCACCATTGCCGCCGAGAAGAATTCCACCATCGTCTTCCCCCTGCCCATAGACATGCTGCAAGGGATTGTGGGAATGAGGCAGTAGCGAAGGCAGCCACGTTGGCGAAAGGGAGAAGGGAAGCTAGATTAAATGCAAACGTCAGCTTCGGCTAGGCGAGAAATTGCAACCATGTAGAGTTCCTAAGTATTTGGCATCAGCCAGTTCCTCTGCGTTGTCCCTCTGAACAAATAAATAGAAGTCCCATTTTGCTTCTCCCCCATTCTAAAAATTATACAGATTAACAGAGTTGGAAGGGACCTTGTAGGTCATCTAGTCCCTGGCCCAAGCAGACCCTACGCCATTTTCAACAGATGGCAGTCCAGTTTCTTCTTGAAAGCTTCCAGGGATGAAGCTCCCGCAACTTCTGAATAACAGAATAATAACAGAGTTGGAAGAGACCTTGTAGGTCATCTAGTCCAACCCTCTACCCAACCAGGAGACCCTACACCATTTCTGACAAATGGCAGTGCAGTCTCTTCTGGAAAGTTTCCAGTGATGAAGCTCCCGCAACTTCCAAAGGCAACTTCTGTTCCGTGGGTTGATTGCTCTCAACGCCAGAAAATCTCTCCTTATTGCCAGGTTGAATTTCTTATTTCGAAGAGAGATTTCTTTTATGTGCATGCATAGACAATTTTGACTGCAGCTTTTTTCAGAAAGGAAGACAAAGAACGAATACAAATTAGTATCAAGGAAGAAAAAAGAAGGAAGGGATCAAAGAGAAAGCTAACATGCAAAAAGGAAAAAAGGAAAGGAAAAGTTACCAAGAAGCAACTTCCAATCTTCTTTTCAGCCCTTATTACAGTGATAAATTCACCTCCTACATTTAGATTTACAAGATAACTCTCTTCTTTCTTTGATCTGGCTTGTCTAATCCTCAGAGCCATACATTAAAGTTTACTGCTTTTCCTCCTTCATGCAAAAAAACTCTATAGTAAGGGGTTAAAAAGAGATATATTTTTTTTGGAGTGCCTTCTACCTCTTAAATATTTGGAGGGAGAGTGAAAAAAAATGTTCTAGCTTTTGAATTATTGTTGTTTTTTAAAACAAAAATATATTTTCTCTGCTTCTCTCTTGGGAGGCAGCTTCCCATACGAGATTTTCCTTAGCAGCCCTGTTCTCAAGAGGTTGTAACAACGCACACATTGTAGTTATGGAGATAGTGTGCTTGTTAGCTACGCATTATGTTCAGGTTACACATAAGTGTATTCTTGCCCTAGCCATCTACATAACCCAAATATCTGGCTTTGCTATGTACATTTTTTAAAAATATATATATAAAAACAAGAGAGTAGCTTTTCAATCTGTCTTTAAAAAGATGGACGTATTTCATTTCCTGGTTTTGATTTATTTCCCCCGCACCCCAGGAAAAGTAAAACCATAACGGAGATACAATCTCATTGCCAGAAATGAGGCTGGTGCCTTTGAATCTTTAGCAGAGTTTAAATTTATTATTTTCCTACAAAGCTAAGAAGCTCGAAGTTTATTTTAAAACGTCTGTGATCAGCTGCATGGTAATGTACCTTTCATACCTGAAAGGAAGCTTAATTTAACATTATTGCCTCCCCTGGTGGCTGTCTCTTATTTCCACATTCTCACCAAGTTTGAAATAATTCCCCTGGAAGACCAATAAACCCCACATAGGCTTCCTTCCAAGCAAGTGCAATGTTCGTGCTAAATCTCAGCTTTTTGCTAATAATACCACGCTGATGTTTAGCCCCCCCGTATCTCTGTATATTTGCATTGTGTATTTTGTAAACTTGCATATCTGGTTGAAATCAGAACGATAGGCCATTGTGAGTGACCGGCATTGTGGTTTAATTGTAATCATTGAGTTTCAGCGTTGTGGGTTGAAGTTTTAAGAACAGGAAAAGGTTAGAAAAAAAGGCCCGTCTGATGAAAACTTAAAAGGTTTTCCAAATGTCTGAACAAAGGAACCTCTGTTGAAATATCATACAGCTGTGGATGCTCTTCTAGTTTTCAGCACGCACCAGCCAAATGGTCTTCGCGGGCACTGGAGCACTGGAAAACAGCCTGAAAAATGCCCCCAAAACAGGCCATTTTTTCGGGGCATTTTCAGGCTGGTTTTCGGGCTGTTTTTGGCTCAAAAACAGCCTGAAAATGGCAAAAAAAAAAAAAACAGGCATGCATGCAATGGCCAGCTGCTATTTGGGTTTTTGGCGCTATGGTTCTGGTTTGGGAACTCGGTGCGCCATCACTGTCCTATAGCATCCTCCTAAATTAAGGTGGGATCCAGCCACTTTAATTTCATGGTCATTTTAATTCAGCTTGCAATGACAGAATCCAAATGAAGGTGTCTTCCCAGAGGGCAGGGGGGGAAGCGTGCGCACACAAACACACGAAAACCAAAGAAATTTTTCTTGAAGCCCGTTTACCAAAAGTGCTCTTAATGTCACGTCCAAAAGAAAGAAAGAAACGGTCAGTGAAAATGTACTGTGTCTGAATTCTTAAGTGTCCTTGTTTATCAGCCGATGTTCCAATAAAAAAAAATTTCTTTTATCATGTTCCAGTTTCTGAACTCCTTGGGGAACGTTTTCTGGAAAAGGAAGGTATTTGGAGAGGCCTTGGTGCTCTCTCTGAGCTTGGTGGTTTCATTACCGAGATCCTGAAACAGGGGAGCAAAAACTTGGAGGGTGGGTTTTTGTCCCCCTCTTTGCCCGAGTTAAAATCTTGTTGAGCCATCTCCGGGCTGCAAGAAAACATCTGCAGAACATCTGCTAGCCTCACCCATCCTCCTCCGCTTACCCTGCCTAGGTGGAGAGGTTTCCAAACCTTAGATTTTTATCTTTGTGTTATCTCAGGCCAGCCTGGAAAAATAGCTCTTAAGGATGTTTGCAAGTAATTGAATAGGGCTGGCAGCCTCAAAGCGGTAATTACGAAGGAGAGAAACACTAGATTGCCATTAGAACAGAGGGCCAAGCTTCAGTTTATATTCATTAGATGGTGGGGATGTTTGGACAGAGGTCTCTTATCTTGTTGGTCTGCCGGTGGAAGAGTTCTCTCTTGTCCAAAATTTATAGGCCTTTGGGGTAATTTCTGTTCTTCATATCTGCAGGAGGGAGGGAGAAAGGAAGGAAGGAGATGGGAAGAGAAAGGGAGAGAAGGAGGAAGGGAGGAAGGAAAGACATGGGTAGGAAGAGAGAAGAAAGAGAAGAGATAGGAAGGAGGGGGAGAAAGGGACGAAGGAATTGGGAGGGAGGGAGGAGATGGGAAGAGAAAGGGAGGGAGGAAAGACATAGGAAGGAAGGAAGGAAGGAAGGAGAGAAGAAAGGAAAAAGATAGGAAGAAGGAAGGAAGGAGAGAGATGAAAGGAAAGAGAAGTGAAGAAGGAAGAAAGGAAGAGGGGTGGAAGGGACGGAATTGGAAGGAAAGGGAGGGAGGGAGGAGATGGGAAGAGGGAGGGAGGAAAGACATGGGAAGGGAAAAAGAAGAGAAGAAAGGAAAGAGAAAAGAAGGAAGAGGAAGGAAGGAGATGGCAAGAGAAAGGGAAGGAGGGAGGAAAGACATGGGAAGGAAGAAATTGCAAAGGAAAGGGATAGGAAGAAGAAGGAAGGAAGTAGATTGAAAGAGAAAAGGAGGGAGGGAAGACATGGGAAGAAAGGAGAGAAAGGAAACAGATAGGAAGGAAGGAAGGAAGGAAGGAAGGAGATGAGAAGAGAAAAGGAGGGAGGGAAGACATGGGAAGAAAGGAGAGAAAGGAAACAGATAAGAAGGAAGGAGAAGAGAAGAGAAAGGGAGGGAGGGAAGACATGGGAAGAAAGGGGAGAAAGGAAACAGATAGGAAGGAAGGAAGGAAGGAAGGAAGGAGATGAGAAGAGAAAAGGAGGGAGGGAAGACATGGGAAGAAAGGAGAGAAAGGAAACAGATAAGAAGGAAGGAAGGAAGGAAGGAAGGAGATGAGAAGAGAAAAGGAGGGAGGGAACACATGGGAAGAAAGGAGAGAAAGGAAACAGATAAGAAGGAAGGAGAAGAGAAGAGAAAGGGAGGGAGGGAAGACATGGGAAGAAAGGAGAGAAAGGAAACAGATAGGAAGGAAGGAAGGAAGGAAGGAAGG